CCACCTCTCTCTTTCGGAATTAAATTTAGATCCGATCGGACTAGAATCGGACCGAATCGGATTAGAATCTTCAGTCTGACATGTTTACATGAAACATTTTTGATCTGATCAGGCCTTCAATCCGATTAGTTGTGTCCATGTAAACGTAGCTAATGATCCACTACTTAATCCACTATTAAGCAGAATCTCTAAGCCTTGGTCTCATTTTACTGTGAAACCAACAAACTGCAGAGAAAGATGGTTTTTAGATGGCTACATCTAAAAATCTAATTCAGTGTTTGAAAAAAATAAAATTCTTATAAATCAACAAAACTAAATTTTAAGTGTAAATTGAAAAAAAGTGGTTCTTGGTCTCCTTTACAAGTCATGGAAAATTTTATTTCACTTTGCAGTTGACCAGAGGCACACGACACGACAATTTTTAAAAATCACCAACAACAATCAGTGTTGATTAAAAAAATAAATACTATAGCTTCTTCCTTTACTTTAATACATTTTCCAGCAACAGAGTTAAATGAAATTCTTGGCAACCTTAAATTGCAGGCAACCGGGTTTTCATTCAGTTTTTCTGAAGAAGTTTTCAACGCGGGGTGTTAAAGCATCCTCAGAAAAACTGATTCAGTCTGGTTGCCTTCGATTTAAGCCTGTCTTACAGTCAACAGAATTAAATATCATCAGAAGTATTAAGAATAACAGAGATATCTCCTCAAAACATGAAGAAATGTAAAAATGACAATAATGAAGAAGTTTGGTAATTACCTGGCCATTTTGGTAGACCTCTCTTTCTGTTAACGGACAATGCAGGTACAAGGCAGGCTGTGATAGTAAGCCTGGGGCTTATTAATTTTACTAACAAATTCTGTGAAAAGCTCGTAAAAAACAATTTCCCTATAGTTGGGCTGAAAAACAAATTTCAGTTATGAGAACAACTCACAGTTCAGTTCAGAAAACCAAGGGGTTATATTCTTTATCTAGTGAGGTTCCAATACTTTTACCTTTAAATTGTCGGTTATTTCAAATGTGAATGTTCAGCTAACTTCTGTGTTTTTGGTGTGAACCCTTATCCATCTGCACCAAGTAATTTATTCTTCTCATTTGCATTGCACACAAACAGGATGAGGCTTTAAAATGCTAATATTTAAGATAACAGTTTGCTAGATAGCTAAAGTTCTCTTCCTCAAACAGAAAATGGAGAGATTGTTCATTATGATAAACAGATGAACAGGAACTGAGATAATTCTGGGTATAAGAGAAAAGCAGGGTTGAACTCTTATTTCATGGATGTGTTTTAAACAGTACAAGATATTGTCAGATGCATATTAAGAATGTGGAAACTACTTGTTTATCTGTGT